GAGAAGGTATGAGTCCGAAGAGGTTTCAGTGAGAAGATTTGAGTGAGAAAAGGTACAAGTGAGAAGATTCAACATGTCTTCATCTTCATCTCCTGCTCAAACAAAGAGGTGTCCGTACTATGGAGCTGCAATGGTGCTTCAGGTTTCAAAATCAGAAAAAAATCGAGGGAAGCCATTTTGGAAGTGCCTAACCTCCTATGTAAGTTTTCATTTCCAGAATATGTATGTGGGTGAAAAAAACCTTGGTCTAACTCTGACACAATTATTTTGCATATATGATGCCTGCAATTAGGGAGCCACCAGTTGCAATGGATTTGAATGGGTTGATGTAACTTCCACTCAAGCAGAACAGCCAGATGACACGTATGATGCTACGGTGCTGAATATGTTGAAGTCCATTAAGGACTTGGTATTAGTTTTATTACTGTTATCAATTTTAATATTATTTGTTCTTTTAATGACCAATTAAGTGCACAGTTTCAAGGATTGTAAAAGTTCTCCCCAAAAAGACATGTTGCACGCACCACCAATGAGTTTTCAAACCCATTTTGTAATATTTGTTCTTGAAATAGGTGGATTGGCATTGAGTTTAAATTATTGTTCTTGAAATAGGTAGATTGTTTATTGGCTATTTATCGGATATTGGATGTTTATTGAAGGTTTATTGATTGTTTACTGCATGTGTATCGCATGTTATTTATCGGATATTGGATGTTTATTGAAGGTTTATTGATTGTTTACTGCATGTGTATCGCATGTTATTTATCGGATATTGGATGTTTATTGAAGGTTTATTGATTGTTTACTGCATGTGTATCGCATGTTATTTATCGGATATTGGATGTTTATTGAAGGTTTATTGATTGTTTACTGCATGTGTATCGCATGTTATTTATCGGATATTGGATGTTTATTGAAGGTTTATTGATTGTTTACTGCATGTATTTCGCATGTTATTGTCCGATATTGAATGTTTATTGAAGGTTTATTGGTAGGAAGAACAACTATTCAGTAGAATTTCCTAATCGATACGACTCCCTTATGGATGGTGAAATTAGGGACTGATGTATATTGCATGTCTATTGCGTATAGATTGCATGTGTATTGCGTGTATATTGCTTGTCTGTTGCCTGTGTATTGTTGTTTATTTCCTTCGTAAGCAATAAACAATCAATACACACGCAATAAATGTACGCTATGCTCGCAATAGACAAGCAATATAGATGCAATAGACAAGCAATATAGATGCACCAATATACATTACTTTTATGCTACTGAGTTGCCCAAGACCAATAAAATAAAGAAAATCAACGAATTTATTAACCGATTATAAAGGAAAGAGGGATTCAAACCCGATGGGCGGTACGGAACCAATAGGAAGTTTTTATAGCATTGCAGATGGGAAATGTTTATTGAAGTTTTATTGAGGTTTATTGACGGTTTACTGAATGTTTACTGAAGGTTTACTGCATGTATATCGCATGTGTTTCTATAAAGAGGGCATGGTTGAATAAAACATTGGAGGCGAGGGCATAGCCGCCTATTTCCCTTATAGAATTACAATCAATACACACGCAACCCATTGCGATTAAGTTAAGGCATGGTGAACGGCTTAAAGATTGGGATGTGATATTTGGAATGGTGGCTTGGATAAATCATGACATATTACTTTGCAATAATGTAATACACTTTAAAAAGCCATCAGTCATTGTTCACATATGCAGTCTTCCAATCCCAATTCAATGCAGTTTGGTTAAGGTTATGTAAATGTCGTGAAGGAGTTAGGGCTATGTATGGGAATGGTATGTGCCTAACTTCAAAAACGCATATGCCTATCCATTTACATTTGCCCACGTGCACTAGATTTACAGATCCATTTACTTTTCTCCTCACTAAGCCTCTGCATCTCCATTTCAGATTCTTCATTTTTCTGTCTATGCTCTGCATCCAGCTACTATATACATTTAGCCTAATATGAGAATAAATGTAGCGTAGTATCACACTAATCAAAATGAAAGCATGCATCCGCTATAATAATATTTTGGTTCTAATTGTTGTCCAATAACTTAAACTTAAAATTATGTACAAAAATACACTAAGATTGAGAAAGACGAAGAAGAATTGAGGAGCAGAGGTAGAATTCAAAAAGGAGCCGTGGATCTGTATTGTGTATTTACATGAGTTTCAAATTGGAGATTTCCAAAACCAATTTAATCATCACGTACCTGAACTCATTTCAACCACTATCATGGCATGTAAGCATCTCCCCGTAATATCTCTGCAGCCAACTTCAACCGGAAAAAGGGCATGTTCTGCGCGGTGCAAGTAGCTAACGGAATCTCAGCGCTCAAAAGCTCAATGTACTTCAACACAAACATGCCACAATCGCCTCTGAAGCAAATCAAGAACTCGATCAATTCAAGTAATGACATTGTAACGTAATTGACAATTTCAAGTAATAAAATTAAAGAAAAAGTTGTGCTCACTGATTAGATTGTTGTGGAACATCCACACGTTCTATTGGCCATGGACACCACCAATCTCTGCTGCAGTCGTTTGTGTAAACACCTTCTTCATAAAAGTCGATGGAGTTGAGAAGATTTGGAATCGTAATTGAAAGCGGGGCGAGTTCTTCCTTTAACATCTCATCTGGAATAACTGAAACCATTGAATCGTACACTTTGATTTCACACTTAACCAGATCAATCATTAGAGCCACCCAATTCTTATGCTTCGTCAACATACAAGGGGCATACACCTTATACACGTTCTGCCAATCCACCCCACACGCCGGAACCTTGCCATTTACAACGTTCACTAAACTGTTTCTAATTTTCCACCCAGCCTGCTCTTTTTTTCTTTTATTATCCGCAAAGCAAGTATGGATGTGATTCTGTGAAATAGAAAACAATCAATGGTTAAACATCTCCACAAAGCAAGTATGGATAATTTGTAATTATTAACTGCACTTGGTCAAGCCCTATGACATACCATGAAAAATACATCGGTCGTTGTCCAGTTCGATATTTCTACAACCTCCAAATCTTGTTGTCGCTTCCGGATGAGATACAACCCCAAATCAATGTGCTGCACATGTTTTTCTGGTCAATCTCATAATCTATGTACATTAAAACAAATGCATAATCAATTAAACTTACATCTCCTGTCAGCCAACCGTCAGCTTTTACGAGGGAAGCGAAGAATTCAATCTCAGCTTCGACGTGGCCAAATTGCATCACTAAACTGTGAATATAACAAAGTTTTAGATCACAACAATTTAAAAATATATACACTAATGCCTTCTATCTCAAAAAACAAGGGACTTACTTTGGGTTAAGGCGCCATTCCCAACAAAGTTTCAGCAATTTCACCATATCATCATGCGGAATCGCCTTCATTGGGTCTAACATCCAAAGTCGGGCTGTCTCTGGCACAGGTTTTTTCACCAATTCACTAGCTTCAATGATCTTCCACATAGGAATAATCCTCTTTCTCTTTCGTAATTGGACCCCTTGTTCCACAGCTTTACCTTTATCATTCAACCAAACGTTCAACTCAGATAGCACAGCTGTAGGTTGATCCAAATCAATATCCCCGAGATTAAACTCAACAGTTGTCCCCGCCGTGCTCTCACCAATGTCATCACAAACCAAAACAACTTCATCATCCGCTTCCTCACATTCCTTTATTTGCACTTCCTTTTCCTCACTTTTTTTACTTTTCACTTCCTTGCCCTCCCTTCTTTTTCTTTGCGGATCCTCTCCATCACTGCTTTTTCTTTGCAGTTCCCCTCCGTCACTGCTTTTTCTTTGCAGTTCCTCTCCCTCACTGTTTTTTCTTTTCACTTCCTCTCCCTCACTGCTCTTTCTTTGCGCTTCCTCTCCCTTGCTGCTTTTTATTTTCACTTGCTCTCCCTCTTTTCTTTTCCTTTGCGCTTCCTCTACCTCACTTGGTTTTCTTTGCACTTCACCCCCTTCAATTCCCTCCTCGTCCTTTTCCTCTCCCTCATATCTGTTACTTGGCCCTTCATCCCATTCACTATCATCCATTTCGTCAGATCCCGTAAATATATGTGAGATGGCACAACGATTCGTCCTCTCTTTCAATAAAGCTAGGTCCCTCCTTACTTCTTGCTCAAACTGAGGACCTAAACAGTGGTCCAAAAGTTTTTTCCATCCGTATGACCTTTAACTCAAGGACGTCATTTTCCCGCTTTACTTGAAACAACTCGGACCTCAACAAGCTTACCAGCTTGTTCAACTCATCAAGATCAGCACATGAAGAAGGATTTGACTCTGCCGAGACAACAGCAGGGCGATCCTGTGGCCAACTCCAATATGATTGTCTCATTTGCTCTTCACTCGGACGTAGCGCCCGCAACTGAACTGACTGTTTCAGAATACAGACAATATTCATATTCAATCATTCTACTTAATAATTTCATTGAATCTTATAAATAGTTTCAAGGGCTGCAAACCAAACCTCTTTGCTCTGGAAAAAATAATTGTTCAACTTCCTCATCTCGGGCATAGACGTAGTCGTTCTCCATCGCAAAATACGCGGGACAGCTGTTGGATCAACAACCTTGCAGTAATTCAGGTCCACCATTCTAGGAATTAATTCATATACCCAAATCTACACAATTCACAGGACAAAAGTCATTATTTAAGTTTTAAAGTTCACAAAGCATAACTGACATGAACATTATTACCATGTACCTGGAAAGCATACGTGAAACCTTTAAAACTCCACCCACCCCTTTGCACTTCACCATGCTTATGCTTCTTGCCCTTCTCATTTTTCCGGCTTGTTCCCGTTACCTTACTTTTCCCCTTCTCTCTTCCCTCTTCATTTTCAAAGCTTTTCATATACTTTGTTGGTGCAGAAAATAGACTGTCTTGGGTTTTGTCAAACGACATCGAACCCCACGGATACCTGTTGAACGCATCCAAGTCCTCTACAAGGGTCAGGTAATTTACATTGATGTTCAAATGCTTGTCCCTTCCCAAAACCACTAACTCAGCAAAGTAAACAAGAGCTAGCTTGTAGCCGTCATCTCTCTCTTTGCACCTCATAAATGCTTCTTCTAAAGCATTGCATGTAATTCCTTCGTCTATAAAATATCTTTTCTGAAGTCTAATTTCAGCACTTTCTCCACTGGAAACTTCAGGCACTTCCTCAAAACGAAGCCCCGAGATCAAACAGAAATCTTGACGAGTAAACTGAGCAACGTCGCACCCTATTAAGAAACTCAGTCCATCCAAGTCTTTCACACCCTGCCCCGCGACTCGACGCAACACAACTCCATGGACAATCTGCCCGCTAAACTGAATCTTGTCTATATTCAGAAGATGGCGAAAGCATGATGTCTTGAATTGTTCTAATTGTTCCGCACTCAACTTCGCTCGAATTGCAGCTAGGGTTGAATTTGCATGTGAGCAGTTGTTCACCCGTGACGCATATGCCTCTGACTCTGGCCATACCAGCTGCACGTTGGATCCCATTTCCTAAAATACAAGATGAAATAACGTTAACACATATACTACCACCACGTATTTGCACAATCATATTGGTATTTAGTATTTACATAACTAGTCAACCAGGCACATTACAAATTTTATGAAGTACATGCGCATAGGGATTACTGATCACAGCCTTTAACATCATCAAAGCAATATGACAAATTTTGTGCAAATACCTGTTAATGCAATGATTCTGTGAATTACAACCAATAGCATGTATTTTATTTTTGGATACAAACTCCAATCAATGGTTGATGCATGAGTGAGTGTGAGTGCAATCTAGGCAAGTTCTGCACTTCACACACATGACAATTATTGTCATCTCATACACAACACAAAATAAATAAATAAATAAGAAAGATAGTGGAAGGAAGCAAAGCAAAGAATTTGCTCTGCTATCTGCTTGCTAAGCCATTGCCACATCCTTCTTTCTTTCTAGCTTTTTCTTCAGTGAGCTACTATGATCATGGATCAACCTTCATTTCAAATGCTTTGCACTTTTATTCATGACTTTATTATTATATCTTCTCATTTTTCACAGGCAAATTTAGCAACAAGGGAAATAATATTTATTTCAAAAAATATATATATTATAGCGCCAGAGATATGTTATTGACATGTTATTGACTTCAGGGTCTCCTCCAATTCAACACCATTATCTTATTCATATCATTATTGATATGTTATTGACATGTTATGTTTTTGACTTGATTTTCATTCATTTTTTAACATATACACAAGCAAAAATTAACATGCAAGTGAAGCACAAGGAAGAGATGCCAAATCCAACAACATTGATGGTACAAATTGGGGAAAACCTTTACTCTAACCCTAAACTCAAATTCCATAAATTACTCACCAAATGCTGGTTATTGAACAATCGCAAGGTGTCGTGTCTGTGCGGGGTCTTTGTGCGGCTTTGCTCCACAAATGGAACCTTTCACTTCCAACAAATACGGCTTCTCTCCTTCCCCTTCCACTGCTTCGCCACTTCACTGTTTCGGAATCCACGCCTTTGTCCCTTCCACTCAAAATATATACTTTTTCAGGGTTTAGAGAATAGAGTTGCGTTGCGTTCAACCGTTGCCTTCAACCGTCGTTAACCGTTGCCTTCAACCTTTTCTCAGAGCTTAGCAGTTTCTCAGAGCTATGGGTTTTAGAGTGATGGGTTTTTTCTGTTCAAACTTCGAACTGATTTTTTCTGTTCAAACTTCGAACTTGCCTCTTTTTTTTTTTTTTTGGGACCAACTTCAATGCTGGATATTAAATTCGGGTTTGGGTTCCTCACCTACCCGATTGCAAAACTTTATCTCAATTCTCCCTAGCCTTTGGATTGATCTGATGGCTATAAAGTGAACCCCTTATAACTTACCACTTATAACTTTCCACTCATTATAGTCTGACCTCTTTTTTTAGGCTTCAAACATCTTGAATTCTATGGAATCATCTTGAACTCGAAGCTTGAGCGTGCCTTCTTCAACATATGAGTGTCCCAGTTGTAGCAAGGAAAGGACGACCAAGAAGGATTGAAATTTTTTGGTCTTCCTTCATGTCAAGCACAAGAAAATCGACGGGCTACATGAATTGGTTTACTTTGATCAACACATCTTCTACAAGGCCCTTAGGATATGTCACGGAGTGATTTGCTAGTTGTATGCTCACAAAAGTCTCCTTAAGGTCACTTAAATTCAAAGATTCCTAAACAGAAAACGGCATCAACTTAATTGAAGCACCTAAGTCTAATAAAGCATGTTCAAGCATTTTATTGCCAATTGTACAAGGTATAGTAAAACTCCCTAGATCTTTAGTTTAGGAGGCAATGTACGCAATAGTGCAGAGACTTCCTCACTTAAGGCCACAATTTCATTCTCCTTGAAATTCCTCTTCTTTGTACAAAGTTCTTTGAGAAACTTTACATAGCTTGGAATTTGCTGGATTGCATCGAGCAAAAGAATGTTCACTTGCACTTTTTGGAAATTCTCTAACATGTCCTTTGAAGCTTGCTCCTTCTTTGAATTCATAAACCTATGAGGAAAGGGAACTTTTGAAGTAATCGAATGATTCACAAGCGAACTTCCCTTAGAGTTGTCACTTGGGACTGTAGGCTTGGGATAGGGGGCAACCACAATTTTGAATGAATTTCTCTGAAACGCATCCAATGTGACGGGCTTTGTCATCACATCTGCCAGCTGATCTTGTGTTCCACAATAAACCAACTCAACTACTCCTTCTCGTGTGAGATCACGAAGAAAATGGAAGCGCACATCAATGTGCTTGCCTCAACCATGTAACACAGGGTTTTTTGATAGTTTAATTGTGGAACTATTATCACAAAGAATTGTAGTACACTTACTTTCCTCCAGACTCAGTTTCTCAAGTATCCTCTTCATCTAAATAGCTTGGCTCGCACAAGCAGCTGCAGCCACAAACTCTGCTTCAGTGGTTGAAAGTGTGACTATAGGTTGTTTTCTTGGGGACTAGGCAATAGCTCCAGATCCTAACATGAAGACATAGCCTGATGTGCTTTTCATGTCTTCTAGATCTCTTGCATAGTTGCTATCTGTATAACCAACTAGACCTTCACACCCTCCCTTCTTGTAAAAAAACTCCAAGTCCAGTGGTTCCTTTCAAGTACTTCAGTATCCTCTTGGTTGCTAGCAAGTGCAACTCAGTTGGTTTAGCCATGTACCTGCT